AGATCAGAAGGTAGGCCAAGATGAGTGTTAAACAGACTGGGAGACACATCAAGCACACGATTGCGAAGAAAAAGCTTGTGAAAACGGGGACTATTAGGATCAAACACAGCAAGGGTGAGATTGGCATAAAATTCTTTGACTACTTGACCACAGAAGGGTTGAAGATCAGACACTGTTTTAAACAAACCCACAGACTCAATCAAATGAAGAATGCCAAGATCAGCAAACTTACCATCTTCCACAGCACGTTCGGACCAGAAACCATAGGAACCAAAAGAAACAAAGCGCTCATGGGCCGCCTCAGTATAGAACCGATTAGTGAAGGTGTTCTCAAGATCATAAGCATCGTCCTCAGGTTCTGGAGGAACAGGTGGTGCATCAATGGATTTTATGCCCCGCCGACGAGTTGAGCGACGAACAGGCATCTTGGACGGTGGCGAGGGCTGATCAGAATGAACATCAACGAGAGTTGCAGCTGTGTCTTCCTTGTCTTCTCCGCCTGCTTTGGTTGCGGTCTTTGATGTCGTCTTGGTAGCAGATTTGCTTGCCGAAGTTGGAACAACAGACGACTCCCCCTGAGTTGGAGCCGCTGGGGTCTCAACATGCCCTGACAGACCAGGTACACTGGTGGCGAGAGGAGAGATCTCAAGATTTTTATCGGCAGTCTCTGAGTTGGACGGAGAACCAGACGAAGTTGCAGAGATAGAAACTGACTTCTCAGGAGGAGGCGACTCAGGCGATGGGGATTTAGCCGGCGGAGGAGATGGTTCTCGGGCAGAACTTGTAGAGAGGGATAGACGACGCCGCTTCAGNCGCTTCTCCTTGTGCTTCTTAAGACGTTTCTTCGACTTGTCCTTGCTACCGGCCATGGGAGAAGGAACGGCGATTGAGTATGGGAGAGGTAGGGTTTCAGAAGATTTGAAAAAGAGAATGAGAGAGGAAGATAAGTTCAGATGGAAAAGATATGATTGAAATTGAGATGCGTGAGAGATATAAAGAGTTCTGACATAGATAACTGCAAAAGGTGGTTTTCCGACATTCAAGGTGAGGAGAGAGAAAGAGACGTTGCAACTTGGGGCAGTTTATGGCACGAAACTGATCCCTCCAAATCCAAATTCAAACACAATACAACCTCTCACATAAATAACTTCTCACATTATTTCGATTTTTAGGAAAGAAATCAGATTTCATACTTGAGCACACATACTTCACAAAATTTTAGACTCAAATAGATTATATTCAAAAAGGAAATCATATGCAAGTATGCCTAAAAAATGAGAAATAAAAATAAGGTAATAACATCGCACATAAAGTTCACCAGATTCTAAAAATCTTTTCCTTCTCAACTTAGACAAAATCGATGAAAATAGCCCAAGACCAACTTTGATATTCAGATTTCCCAAGGAACACACGATAAGCGGATATATGTATATACACAAGGTAGTGCGAACCACAACTTCATATATGCAAGAACACATGCCTTATTATTCATAGTGCGTTTCACTTAGTAACAATCACTGCAATAGTGAAAGTCAACCCCACTACTTTGCACCACGATTTTAAGCAAGGATCCTTCGTTTATTTATTTTTTTTATTTTTTATTTTTTATATAAATCAGCACTACGTTTTTTATGAGGATGGCCACCTTATCACTCCAAGTAAGAACATCACATAGTAATATGCAATGCGTGTCACTAGCTTACGCCCTTTCTCAACATTTTCTGTCTCAGACGCTCTTTTCACAGTCGATCCCACATTGGAGAAACGAACCATGTGCTAGCTATCGCTCTAGATCATTTATGAGAAGGCAGCTCTTTGTGACAAAGAAAAAGAAAATACAGAAAATAAGTATGTTCCTTGGTACCATAAGAACACGCAATCAGACTTAAACCATCAACACTTCTCAAGTTTTCAGAAGAGTTGGAACTTCAATCAAGAATCTAGTGGTGAAGAGAATGCAAGATGCACGATATGCCTAATGCAATATACCCTATATGCTTACACGCAATGCAATAGATATATATTATTAATATACAATACAATATAATATAATGCAAAGACACACAACCACTCAGAATGAACAGATCCCTAAGGATTTCCTTAGAGAAATGAATCTTTGAGAATCCAGAGCCTTAGTGAAGATGTCAGCTAACTGGTTTTGTGTAGAAATATGCTCAAGCACAATCACATCATTCTCAACTAAGTCTCTAATAAAGTGATAGCGTATATCGATGTGTTTAGTCCTAGAGTGTTGAACCGGATTCTTAGAGATATTAATGGCACTAGTATTGTCACAAAAGAGGTTCACGGTTCTTACCTCTAGTCCAAACTCAATCACCATCTGCTTCATCCACATGAGTTGTGAACAGCAACTACCAGCAGGTATGTATTCAGCTTCAGCTGTCGAGAGTGCTACGCAGTTTTGCTTCTTACTAAGCCAGGAGATGAGATTATTGCCAATGTAGAAGCAACCACCAGAGGTACTGCGTCGATCATCGACGTTTTCAGCCCAATCTGCATCACAATAACCTGCAAGACTAGAAGACGTGTCTCGTGAGTACCAAATACCCAAGTCTGATGTACCATGCACATATTTGATGATGTGCTTCACTGCCTTCAAGTGAGATTCCTTAGGATTTGCCTGGTACCGAGCGCACATCCCTACACTAAAACACATATCAGGTCTACTGGCAGTTAAGTAAAGCAAACTACCGATCATGCTTCTATAAAGCG